TGGGTGGTTGGTGGCTGTAATAAATAATGTGTATATCTCCGCTCTGGCAATAATCACATCTCAGTAAGTAAATACACAATGTTTAAAAATGACTATATTTGCTGTTTCATTAAAAGCAAAGCTATAGGTCACAGGAGGAGGGAACCCTGAGCTACAGGGAAAACTACTCAATTAAAGCAGTGTAAAAAGTATCACTTTGGGGCATGGCTCTCAAAATATAGTCTGGGAAGCTGGAGAGCAGATCCTTTCAGAAAACCCGTGGAGCACACACTACCTCCACGATGCTAAGACTTCTGTGCTATTCGGAGTCTTTCTCACGCGTACAGGGGGGTTTCCGGAGGCTCCACAATATGTGACATCGTCACTCTGTCAGCAGACAGAATATATGCTTGCATGTGCCTGTATTCTAACACTTCTCATTTTATTATTTATTTTTTAAAAATATATTTTTATTGATTTCAAAGAGGAAGGGAGAGGGACTGAGAGATAGAAACATCAATGATGATAGAGCCTCATTGATCAGCTGCCTCCGGCACATCCCCCACTGAGGATGGAGCCCGAAATCTGGCATGTGCCCTTGACTGGAATCGGACCCAGGATCCTTCCATCTGCAGGCCGATGCTCTATCCACTGAGCCAAACCAGCTAGGGTGTAACACTTCTCATTTTAAACTCCTCATGTTAAGTATTGATAGACATGTCCCACATAATCAAAGTTTTTGAGGATCCTAAAGAATTTCTCAGAGTATAAAGAAATCTTGAGACGAAAAAGTTTGAGAATATTGCCTTAGGGCAGGGGTGGGGAGCCTTTCTCTGCCAAGGGCCATTGGATATTTATAACACCATCCTCAGGCCAGATAAAACTATCCACTGAGAAATTAGCCTGCTCTGTTTGGTCAAACATTTAATGAACTCACCCCTGATGCCTTGGCAGGGCCAGACCAAAGGATTTCTCAGGCCTTATATGGCCCGTGGGCCGGACGTTTCCCACCCCTGCCTTAGGGGATGAACCTCAACTGAAAGGCAGACCTCACCAAACTCCCTCCCATTTCACACGAAAAAACTGAACCAGGTGTCGTGAGGACAGTTACTGTGTCTGTCTGGCTCATTGTTTTCTCCTCAGAGGCTAGCACAGTGCCAGGCACATGGTAGATATTAGAATCCTATATAATAAAAGCCCAATATGCTAAGTGTCTGGTTGACCGGTCAGCCATTCAACCAATCAAAGCGTAATGTGCTAATGATATGCTAAGGCCGCTAAACCACTCGCTATGATGTGCACTGACCACCAGGGGGGCGGACGCTCTAACTGGTAGGTTAGCTTGCTGCTGGGGTTCGGCTGATCAGGACTGAGCGAGATGGGCTGGACATGCCCTGGAGACCTCCCATGGTCCTCCCCACTGGCCAACCTCCCATGTCCCTCCCTGGCCCTGATTGTGCACTGGTGGGGTCCCTCGGCCTGGACTACGCCCTCTCGCAATCTGGGACCCCTCGGGGAACGTCGGAGAGCCGGTTTCAGCCCAATCCCCCAGGCCAGGCTGAGGGATCCCACTGGTGCACAAATTCGTGCACTGAGCCTCTAGTATCTCATAAAGCAGTCCATGAGTTAGTATGCACACACTCACAGGTGAGGTCTCTGCGGACTCCCTTATTCAGGGTCACACAACTGTCAACCGCAGAGTCAGGCTACCTCCAGGCCCCCAGTGTTCTGTGCCTGGACTGTTGCTCCCTAGCTCACGGATACTTCAGTTTTTGTTAGTTTTTGTTCTACAATCTGTTGAAAGCGGATAATCAGGTCTCGTCCATGGGAGATGGCTGTTATGTGAGTTGGGGCGGATGCAGCTTGTTCCCAGCCAGAAGCATAACCAGCATAGAGTGATACCAATGTGCATGCAATGGCAAGGGTGCTCAGTTAAAGTAGAACTTTCTGGGTTTTCCCCACAACAGAGTTGCAATTAGGATCCATTCTTATTCTAATTTCTGGTCTCGGCCTCCTTCCTTTGGCCACAGCACTGAACTAAGGAGCCTTTACATGACTGTACCCAGGAGTCCCCAGACTGTAAAGAGTAAACATTTTTGAGGGAAATGAAAGGGCGAGGACTACGCCCTCCATCTTACCCTGTGTCCTCCATTTTTGGGCAGCCATGTGCTCGGCAAGGCTTCTTCCCAGAAGCCCAAGCCTCTGCTAGCCACACCCAGGATTTCTTTAAACTAACCAATGACAATCAAGGGAAGTGCGCGCCATGGGTATGACCACATCCTGTGTAATGAGACACCGACTTGTGCCTGGCCAATCGGCAGGGCCCACAGTCCTCTCTCCCCCCCTTACTATAAAACCTCTCTCCCCACAGGGCTGGCCCTCTCTCTACCACTTGTTGCTGTACCAGTAAGGAGGGTAGGGGAGCCAAGCCCGGGTTTGAATAAAAGATCTCTGCTTTTGCATCGGACTTGGCTGGCTCCCTGGTGGTCTATTGGGGATCTTGAAATCTGGGCATAACAGGAAATATACTTTATGCTCTCTTTATAAAGTATATGCAATACGCTCTATACCCCGCCCCTGGTGTCTGTAGCAGAGGTGAGAGACGCCTGCCTGCCCTGCTCAGAGTCACAGAAGGCGAAGGCCGCCCAGGACAAGGAGGGCCAGGGCAGGACAAACGCGAGGCTTGGGAAGGCCTCCCTGGCCACTTCGACGGGAGCTCCTGTGAGAAACACTTCCAGAGACGGCCACCCCGAGACCAGGCCACAGCTGGCCCTCTGCTCAGGACTCACAGGGACCTGCCCCCTGCTCCCCCTGAGCAGCCGACGGGAGGCTCCGCAGTCAGGACGGGTCCTACAGCTGGGGCCCGGCTGCCTGGGCCCTGGGGACCGTGCAATCCCTGCCACTGGGAAAGGAAGGCGTGCTCTTCAGTCCTTCACACACTCATTCAAGACTGACCTTCACTGGAGCCGGGGTGACGTCGCTGACTCTTGTCGTTCACGGTGGTGACGGTCCACAGTCAGGGCCCCGCTGGAGAGGGGACCCCGAGCCCCCACACCTGGGGTGGTGCAGGCAAGGCTCCCGTTCTCGCCCACTGACCAGGGCGTAACCGAGCTTTCTAGGAGCTCCTGTGGGAAGAGATCTTATTTAATAGGCATTACTGATTCATTAATATTGAACTCCAGGCCCAAAGCACTGTGACTCGAGTCTGAACAAAGCTTGTCTAACACTCATTGTTCCATAAGGAAATTTTTTCCTGTCATATAACAACCTCCCTTTTTAAAAAAATGTGGTAAAATATACGTAACATAAATGTGGCCATTTCACCAGGTGCGTGTGCAGTTCAGGGGCACGCGGTGCATTTACACCCTGGGCAGCTGTCACCGCCGCCCCCGCCAGGGCTGTGACCGCCAATGCAGTGTCCCCAGCCCCGCTGCGCCCCGCCCCCGCCTCCCACCATCCTCCCCCTACCCCTTCCCTGTGGAGCACGCACTTCAGCAGGGTCTTGGGGGCCATTTATTGCAGCAGAATCACCCCCGAATAGGACACACCCATGTGAGAAACACGGCACGAAGCGGGCTGCGAGAGCACTTGTGTCCAGCAGGGGAGCCGCGGCCAGGCCTGGGTGACCCCTCTGGGACCCGTGTCGGAGCCTCAACATGCTCGCCATTCTGCGCTGACCACGGAAGCCCCTGAATATCGACGTGGGGGTTAAAAATAAACCAATCTTAGCAAGTGGCGCACTGGCCACTATGGAATCCATGAGTAGGCGAGCGCTGGCCATCTGGGGAAGTGACAGCCTCTGCTTATTTATTCCGAGAAGCAAGAGCAGGACTGCAGCATGCCTGCGCCCGCCATGGGCCACCGGGAACATCTTGTTTGCCTCGAGGCCCGCGAGGTGGCCGTGCGCGATGGCTGTTGGCAGCTACCCCTGCGGCGGTTCTGGTTCCTGCGGAGGATAAATTTAAGCACAGCCCCAAACCCCTCTGCGTGAAACAAAAACCAGGCACTGCGTCCCCGTTATCAATCACCTGCTATATGACAGGCGCTGTATTCAGCAATTTACATGCATTATTAAGTTACACTCCCCAAAACCACGCGAGGGCACCGACCGCGCTGGCACGCAGCTCATCCATTATCGTGTAGTTAGGAGTGGCAGGTGAGACTTGAACTCAGGGCGGTGTGGCTCCAGAGCCAGCTCCACAATTCTAATTTTTTAAAAAAAGGTTCGACTACTCATGTTACACTTATGATAATATTACACAGATTCATACGTTCAGAAATAAATTTACCCAACAAAGCCTTGTAAGCCTGGTCTCACACTGGCCTACAACAAGGAGGATCTGAAATCCTCTGGGCATCTGGCTTGTGTCTGGTTTTCCTTAATCTTCAACGATGGGCAGATCTAATGCATTATGAAAGGCCGTTTTTTTCTCAAGAGATGTAGATGCCTCTTAAGAATTTGATGAAAACGCATGAACTTTTCAGGCTACTGAGCTGCATTTTAGTGCACTGCGGCAGGAAGTTAGTGGACAATGTGCAAAGGTGGTAGCAACCTAAAATTAATAAATATTTGATATGAACCACGGCACTCTCATGGGGGAAAAAAGTAACAGATTACCTTTCTTAGGAGCCCCGAGCTTCCCCCAGAAGAGCGGGGGGGGGGGGGGCAGCTCTGCTTCTTGCTGGCGGGGCTGCTGGGCTCCTGGTTCTGAAGCTCAGGGGGTGAGTGCGACCCCTGCAGGGGCCGCTCAGGTGTAGAGCACAGAGCCCCACCTATGCTCCCCGACCTCCCTCCCCATCCCCCCCCCCACTCCCGGCAAGCACCCCCAGGTGTCTGCCCTCTGGTCAAAATGAGAAATGGCAAAGGGGTGCAAACCCATCACAGTATTGGGGGGAACGGGTGCCCTCTGACGGTGGAGCACTCCCCTTGTGTGCTCACAATATTCTGACATAATTTCTGGGGGACAGAGACCATTGTCTTGCTTTTACCACTGGCATCTGAGGCGGATGTAGTAGGTGCTACATTGCTTGTCAGAAAGTCCACTACTTTTTTATTCTAAGTTCAGGAATTTTCTACTGGCTCACAATATGCTCTTGGTAATAAACTATGAAGCAGTACATCTTCTGAGAGATAGTAGTCTGTAATTTTAGAATAGGAAATAACAATAGTAAATAATAAAAAAAAGAGCACAATTTTTATATGAATAAAATATATTAAATTATTTAAAAATAATTCCATGTGCACTATAACATTATGAGAAGTATGATTTTCAACACGTGCTAAAAATGTAGTCAGGAAAAAAGTTTCTCAAATTAGAGCTGAAAACCTTTTACTAGTATGACAACTGTGACTTTTCATCCAGGTCTTCCTAATTTAAATTTACATTTTCCTAATTCCCCAGGACTGAAAATAATGTAATACAACAAATAATTTTTTTTACTTCAAATGCTTGCTTAAATGGCATACAATAATTTTTAATTCTTGAGGAAGTAACATTTCAGCTTGTAAAATATGAAGTGTAAACTGAGACTTACTTGTTTCAATTATAACTGAAGAGTCCCACATGTACAGATGAATCAGACTGAAGTGCAGTTCATGTTATTGTTTACATACTTTCATTTCTCAACTGTCACCTCTCCCTCCCCTGATTTGTAGATTTATTTCTTTTATGAAGCACTCAGATGCATCGGCTCGCCCTGGCCTGTAACAGAACACTGCTTGGTGACTTGTGACAGACAGGGTTTAACCTCTGACAGCGAGACTCATTGTGGAGCAGGAGCCAATCACAGGTCCTGACGACACTGGTCCCATCCGAGTCGGAATATAAAAAGCCACTTGGAAGATAGCGTGCAAGATTCCCTGGGTGGCCACTGGTGTCTCCGACTGTCCAGGCATTCCCCTTTGCTTGGCATTACTCAAAAGCAAAGGAGGAAAAGGAGCAGGAAAAGACCGCACAGTTTCTACATCATGCAAAAGCTGCAAGTCTACGTGTCCATTTACCTGTTCATGCTGATCATCGCCGGCCCCGTGGGCCTGAGTGGGAACAGCGAGCAGAAAGGCGATGTGGAGAAAGAGGGGCCATGCCACGCGTGCACCTGGAGGCAGAACACAAAGTCGTCCCGAATAGAAGCCATAAAGATCGAGATCCTCAGCAAACTGCGCCTGGAAACAGCGCCCAACATCAGCAAGGAAGTCATCCGGCAGCTCCTGCCCAGGGCCCCACCGCTGCAGGAGCTCATCGACCAGGACAACGTGCAGTTGGAAGGCAACAGCGAGGGCTTCCTGGAGGAGGACGACTACCACGCCATCACGGAGAAGGTCATCACCATGCCCACAGCACGTGAGTAGCCGCCCGCACCGGCCCTGCCGGCTGCCCGCCTGGGTGTGTGAGACACGGTCTGTGCTCAGGCTCTTTAACAAGCCGGGGTTTTATGTAAGTAGGAGGGACCACAGCTTTGCGTTGTTTTCTCAGGATTTCATGAGACTCAGATCTGAAAGTGCTCGCCACGCATTCATGGTGCTTAGTGGGATGTGGCAGAGGTACCGTGCCAGGCTGCCACTGTCACCAGCACCAAGGCCACTAGGAGAGGAGCTACAAACCACGTTACAACTCACATACAACCCATGCTTGCATTTGCTTGCTTGAAACACGCATGTCTCGTGATGAGGCTTTTCACTGAGAACAGGGACGGGGGGTGGTGGTGGTGGGGGGGGGTCTGTAGGTCTAAGCCCAGCTGAGCACTTGCTGGCCACCTGGAATGACTCCTGGAATTCAAAACCATTCCCCACAGGGTGTCTGTGTTCTTCGCAAGTTAAGCTATTTAATTTTAAAAGCGATTACACTGGAGAGTATGAGAAAGTATTTCTTAAATGCAGTGTATTAAAACGTGCAGTGACAAAGCAAACACAGCATAATGATGATCAAGAGCTAATTATCGGAAAATGCCTAAGAAATAAATGCTTCAGCCGAGTAGGTTATGGCTCACCAAGCCCTGCTTAAAGCTGGACCACAGTGCTATGGCTGCAAGCCTCCGGCCTGCATATTTCCAGGCAGGCATGCTGCCTAAGAACTTCTAAAATATTGTCCAATTCTTCGGGGACGGAGGACGACTACCTGTAGTATCTACCTTGCTCCTGAAAGAGAATATATGTCATACAATTCCTTCTGCAGTCAGTTCAAAACTGCAGTCCAAGGAAGGGAGCCAGGCAACTTCGCGGAAGCACGACCAGAACGACTGGGTGCCGAGTGTCTGCGGGTCTTGCCTTATGCAGTGCTTTCTGCCCTTTACACCGGGCTCGAGACAGGTTCAAAATAGTGTTCTCCCTGTCCAGTCATCAGGTGATAATGCAACTAAGGCTTTTCCTTGAAGACTCTGTTATCAGCTGGTCCCGGAGCAGATCTGCCTTATTTATAAACCATCTCAGGGAAACCAAGAGGAGAGACATTTCCAAGGGCTTCTGCTCACCCCGACAGCCCGGCACCGAAGACGCGCTTCCTACTTTCCAAACAGCCCCAAGTTAACCTTGAACTAATTACCGGCCTGGGTTCGATCCTTTAAAACGCTATTCCAGAGCCCACACGTAGCCGATGTCCTGTGTTTTCTGCTCACTGCCCAGGCTTGGCTGCGGCTCAGTGTCTTGTCCCCAGGTAATTCAGGCCTGGGGGGAGGGTTCCTCCTCCAGACTGATTGGTACAGCTGCTCAGTAAGTGTAACTGCTCAGATTCCCAAAGAATTCTAAGTGGATGTTCCTCCACGGTGTCTCTTGTTCTCTCTAATCATCATCATTTTAAAATCTCATCCGCTGTTCGTTCCTTCTCAGGGTTTCCCCAAGTCTACAGTTCTCTGGAAAGGGACAGATTCCTCATAAACAGCTGAAAAAACATCTAAAAAATTCTGAAGAACTAGAGTCATTCTTTTCTTGGATATTTTTCTGAGTTATGAATGAAATTCTACAGTTTTTCATCTTAAAAGACTAAATATACATTCATTAATCCAATAGAAAAAATACTCACCAGTCAATATGAAAGGGTTTCTTCATTTTTTTAATGAGGAATAATTTCAGTAACTCTTTTCTGATTCATTTTTTTAGCTGATCTTCTGACGCAAGTGGAAGGAAAACCCAAATGCTGCTTCTTTAATTTCAACTCTAAAATACAATTCAATAAAGTGGTCCAGGCCCAGCTGTGGATCTATCTGAGACCCGTCATGACGCCCACGACGGTGTTTGTGCAAATCCTGAGGCTCGTTGAGCCCATGGAAGATGGGACGAGATACACGGGAATCCAATCCCTGAAACTCGACATGAGCCCAGGCGCTGGCATTTGGCAGAGCATCGATGTGAAGACCGTGTTGCAAAACTGGCTGAAACAATCCGAATCCAACTTGGGCATTGAAATCAAAGCTTTAGATGAGAATGGTCATGATCTTGCGGTGACCTTCCCGGGACCGGGAGAGGATGGGCTGGTAAGTGATGAGGGGAAGCGGCATTCTCACAGCCTCGTTAGGTTTTCATCAGATGGGAACAAGTCAGAGTGAAAAAGAGCCACCGATTCCTATGCTCACAAGCCAAGCACAGGTATCCTAGCCCTGTACCCAATAAAAGTGGGTCTCTAATTTCATGCCCTGTGGAAGAGCTTCTTGATTCTTTTAGTTTGCATCAGGATTTTTTTTTAAAGGTACTTAACTTCTTAGGCAGTTCTTTTGAATTGAGACTGGATATGCTCTACATGATTATATGAATACAAACATGAAATCTTCATAGTGGATTTGAGTACATATCCAAGAAATTTAAACTCCCCCTCCCCTACCCCAGCGTGCAATGTGTTGAATCTTTCTGCCTTAATAAAGCATTAAAAAAGAAGCTTTATAAGTTATAATTAAAATAAAATGCTTTTTATTTATAGCAATGAACTAAGTACAATATGTTTAGTCTTATACACTATATTAAAGGTCCCTCATAAGTGTGTTCGTTATTTTGTAGGCTGTTGGTGCAAATGTATATGTAGATTACTTTGTGACTCATGCTAATAATATTTAATGCTCAAGCTAGTTACCCTGAGCTGCCTAGTTTATTTCTGAGCTGCCTTACCATTCAAGAGTAAATATTCAAGAGTTTACTTAGGGTATGCCAACTAATTTCATATCAGACCAATGAGATGACAATGCCCTCTATATTATAAAAATTAATAAAAACAACTTTAAAACCTAGTGTAAATTTAGAGCTACTCAGTTTCTGTTTACTTATGCTTGTGTTTACAAAAATGGATTAATGTGACCGTATTTTCACTTCCATCTATTGACATAATTTACAACAAAAGATTATCCTTGCAAGCAATAAATGTTGCCTTTTTAATTTTCTTACTAAGTGGTATTAAGTAAGCTCTACTTTAATGAAAACATATTCTTAAAGAAATTATTCAGTTTTCCAAATGACCTATTTTTCTTTAAACACGCTACATAAAATGTTATTGACTCTCAAAATGATGTTACTGTTTTTATAATCTTAAATAACAATGACTGGTGGGTCTCAATTTTGGTATAGGATAAGAACCATTATTCATTATTTGAGAAAGTGTTCTTTTTAGAAGTAGCATTTTAATGATCAGAGTTGGTGATGTGATAGATTTTAGTTATTATTAAACAGGTGGTTAATATGACATTTTCCTTAGAGTTTTTCATGTAGAAAGAAAAAGTCTCAAATGCATGAAAAGATTGGTGCGGGGAAGGGTTAGAAAATGATTGTTTAAATATCTGATTAGAAACATCTTTCAGTGAAAGAATGAAGGAAACGTTATTGGACCTTTTTCTGCATCTGTCCCTCCTTCTCATAGAGTTTCTCTTTCTAACCCACTAAAACCACCTCCTTCACCACTCCCTTCCCTTTCCCATTCCAATCCACACACAGTGCTGGGGGTGACTACTCGATTCTGCTTTCAGACCCACATATTCTATAAATATTTTCAGAGCATCCACTAAATGCACAGGGAACTCTGTATCACTCCCTTCCCTTTCCCATTCCAATCCACACACAGTGCTGGGGGTGACTACTGGATTCTGCTTTCAGACCCACATATTCTATAAATATTTTCAGAGCATCCACTAAATGCACAGGGAACTCTGTATTGCTGTTGAATACTTTTGAGGACCTACGGATGCTACTGACTGTTCTTTCCCTTTTACCCAGAATCCCTTTCTGGAAGTCAAGGTAACAGACACAAAAGGATTCGTTTTTCTTCCATAATGACTTCTCGAGAGAGGCAAGTGTCCCGGGACCTACGAATGGTACTGACTGTTCTTTCCCTTTTACCCAGAATCCCTTTCTGGAAGTCAAGGTAACAGACACACCAAAAAGATCCAGAAGAGATTTTGGCCTTGACTGTGATGAGTACTCAAGGGAGACGCGATGCTGCCGTTACCCTCTGACTGTGGATTTCGAAGATTTCGGATGGGATTGGATCGTTGCCCCCAAAAGATATAAGGCCTATTATTGCTCTGGAGAGTGTGAATTTGTACTTTTACAAAAACAACCTTATACTCATCTGGTACACCGAGCGAGCCCCAGTGGCTCAGTAGGCCCCTGCTGTAATCCCGAAAAGTTGTCTCCCATTAATATGCTGTATTTTAATAGCAACAATCAAATCATATATGGGAAAATTCCAACCATGGTAGTAGATCGCTGTGGGTGCTCATGAAATTGATATTTGGTTCGTACCTTTCTAAAACATGGAAGGCCTTCCCCTCAGCAATTTTGAAACTGTGAAATCATGTGCCACAGGCTCTATGCCTACAGTATGCGACAGTCACATAAGCACACACCACAGGACATGAACTAAAAGCGAGAATATATGCAATGATTGGCATTTAACCATCGAAATAAATCGCACACTAGAAGTTCTATGATTCTTAGAGTTTTGAACTAGGAGGTAAATTACACTTACGTTCGTATATACAGCATGACACACGCGGGTCGATGCGAGCAGCTCTCCTTGCACCTAGTGAACGAAAGGAGTGCTGAAAAGTTCATTCTCTAGATTTTCATTTAGTA